AGGCTGAGATCTGAGGATCATGGTTCAAAGCCAGCCCAGGCAGGAAAGTCCATGAGACTCTTATCTCCAATAAACCACCAGAAAACCGGAAGTGGTGCTGTGGCTCAAGCGGTTTAGTGCTCACCTTGAGCTGAAGAGTGCAAGGACAGCGCCCAGGCCCAGAGTCAAGCCCCACAACTGACAAAAAAAAGAGCTCAGGGACGGTGTCCAGGCCCAGAGTTCAAGCCCCACAACCAATAAATAAATAAATGAATATACAAATAAATAATTAAAATGTCTTCTTTTGGGGAAGACTCCCTAAGCAGAGCTTTTCAAAGTATAAATCAGGGCTGGGAAGGTTGCTCATTGGTAGAGCGCTTGCCATGCATGCATGAGGCCCTGGGTTCGATTCCTCAGCACCACATAAGCAGAAAAAGAAAAAAGCCGGAAGTGGTGCTGTGGCTCAAGTGGTAGAGCGCTAGCCTTGAGCTGAAGAGCTGAGGGACAGCATCCAGGCCCAGAGTTCAAGCCCAACGACAGACAAAATAGTAATAATAATAATAATAATTTCTTTCACAAAAGACACTGTGGCAAAGTCAAACAGAGACAGGATGGAAGAAGATATTTGCCATTTCTGATCAACAGTGGACCCCCCCCCCCCCCAAGTCTAGGTTACAGAGGAGAAAAAGAAAAATTTCACAAAACAAAAGCCAGGTGTTCCAGTGTCAAAATAGGCCCCTGGAGCCTTGTGCTCAGAGAATCTACTTACTCATTATTCCAGAAACACACGTTTAAATGCACTGGAGTGGTTGCACGTTATACCATGGGAAATCTAGGTAACTGGGCAATACGTGGATAGCCGAAGCCCCGCTCCCCCGCCCCGTTGTGCCGCCAGTCACAGCCCTCCAAGCCAGCCTGGGTGCGCACCCCCCCCCCCCAGTGCCACACCCACCCCCCACCTCAGGGAGCATGTCCTAGGATGCTGAGGGGCAGTTCCTGTGGAGGGCGGGGGTCATCTGAATGGCCTTGTGGGAGGCATCCCCGGAAGCCAGCCGCGTGTGACCATCACGCACAGTGAGCAGAGGTCTCGGGTGCCCCCAGGAATATGGACATCTGGGAGGGAAAGGTGAGGCGTGAGAGGCATGGCATGAACACCAGTGGAAGGTGAAGCCCTGACCCACAGAGCTCACAGAGACCCTCCAGGCCCGCAGGATCGGATGGTTGTCGTCTGTGGCGTGAAGGGGACGGGGATGTGAGAAAATGAATACAATAAGTCTCAGGGGCTCCCACGATGGCCAGGCCCCCTCAGATGCCCTCCACCTCCAGCTCTGGGCACACAGTGGGCGCCTAAGAAGTGCAATGGCTGCATGGATCTGAGCATGGGCTGAGCATGGCTGACGGGCGCAGACCGCAGGGGGGCCCTGGTGACTCCGGTTGGTCAGGGGCGCAGGGGGGCCCTGGGGACTCGGGTTGGTCAGGGGCTTTCCGCCCTGTGGTGCCTGACTGTCCCAGTCGTTCTTGCCTGGACAGGACAATGGCCTCCCAGCTGTTTTCCCCGGCCCCACGGCTGTCCCTGACCCATTGTGTTCAGCAGGAGTCTGGCTTCCCAGCTGCCGCTCCTAATAAACAGGGCCAAACCTCAGTTTCCCTTCTGTTTTACTCAGACCTTGGGGCCTATCTGTTTCCAATTCGTGTTTTCCTCAGGCAGACCAAATCGGGTTTTTTGTCCTGTCAAGTTTCACCAGTAGAGGGTGGGCCTTTTGTACTCTACCGAGTCCCACCTACCTTGGACCCTCTCAGTTTAAATGGTCAGTGGCTCCCGTCTTCCTCCCAAGGTGGAAGCTGATGTCCGTGGAGCCCACACAATCCCTGCTCCCTCGTTTGCAGCCTTTCTGTTGGTTCTCCTCTCCCTTCTCTCGGGCCCTGTGCACTTGCTCTTCCTCAGCCTCCCATTCTCTGTGCATCGCCTGTGAGAGGCCCTCCCTGACCAGGGTGGGAAATACCTGGCCTGATCTCTACCTCATCTGGCAGCTTGTTTCTTTTTATAACACATTGGCCATCCTCATTTTTAAATAGTTGTTTTTAGTTGTCTGTCTTCCTCTGCTAGTGCACAGACTGAGGGAGGAGGGCAGAGGTCAGGCATAAGGTCAGGACTAGGGTTTAGTTTAATGCAAGGGGGATGAGGTGTGGGGGTGTCTGGGAAGCAGGCCTGAAGCCCCAGTGATACAGGATTCCATTTCTGAAATGATCTTCTGACAGACCTGGTAGGCCCCCACAGGGGAGCCACGGGTGGGCAGGACAGGATCACTGACATGGAAGGGACAGCCAGGCGCGGGTGGCTCACATGCACCTGTAATCCTAGTGACCAAGGAAGCTGAGAGCTGAGGATCGCCCTTGGAAACCAGCCCCAGGGAGACTCTTACCTCCAATGAACCAGCAAAAAGTCAGAAGTGGAGCTGTGGCTCAAGTGGTACAGTGCCAGCCTTGAGCCAAAAGGCTCCGGACAGCGCTCAGACCCTGAGTTCAAGTCCCGGGACTGTCAAAGAAGAAAAGAACCACGAAGAGCAAGCATAGGCTGCCGCCCAACCGTGGCTTGGGCGGCCTGGCCCACTTCTCCAGAGAAGTCTTTCCCGTCCTCCTTTCAGAGCTAATTTGGGGTCTGTGTGTCCCTCCACCCACGAAGTGTTCCGGGGCAGCCCTGCCCGAGCGGGGAATCAGTGACTCCGCCCACCGAGCCCCGCTCACCAATGACTCCGCCCACCGAGCCCCGCCCCCACCGAGCCCCGCTCATCCGTGACCCCGCCCCCACAGGGCCCAGCTCATCTTTGATTCCACCCACAGAGCCCCGCCCATCCGTGACCCCGCCCCCACAGCCCCGCCCCCACGAGTCCCACTCATCCACGACCCCGCCCTCACAGCCCCCCCGGTAGCCCCGCCCTCCCCGAGCCCCGCCCCTCAGGAAGGCTCAGTGGCTCCCGCCCTGTTCTCCAGACCCGGACTGAGCAAATTCCCTCTCCCGGCTTCTCGGTCCTTCCTAGAGAACGTCACGGTGCATGCTCATTGGTGGTGTGTTTACCGGCCGCCGTCCCCTACCGGAATCTAGAATTCCGTCCTAGCCATAGCTCAGAATTGGAATGGAGGCTCCGGGAAGATAGGGCTGTGTAAAGCCCTCTGCCCTCGCTGCCCGCGGCTCTCCCGGCCAGTCGGGGCTTCCCGCGGGCTTCCCGCAGCGCTTCCCGCGGGCTCCGGGCAGCCTCGCCGAGGGCCGGCTCGCCGGGATCGCAGCGGGGTCCCGATCGCCCTCCGGGGGCTGGGCGGAGGAGGGGAGCCCCGTGGGAAGGGGGCGCCGCTGCGCGCGGCCGGGCCCCCGCCCGGGCACGGAGGGGTTAAGCGGCGTGCGCGCTTCCGACCCGCAGGTGGCGCCGTCCCGCCTCGGTGCCGGCTCCCGGCGCTCCGAAGTGCGGGACAGAATCGCGGCGAGCGCGGAGCCGAAGCTCAGCTCGACTTGTTGATCTCGCGCAGGCCGCCGCCGCCGCTGCCGCCGCCGCCGCCGCGCAGGAGGAGGAGGAGGAGGCGGAGGCGCCGCCCCATCGCCGAGGGGACCCCGCGCCCCCCGCGTCCCCGGCGCCCGGCCGCCCGCCCGCGACCCCGCCTCGGCGAGCGTGCGGGGCCCGCGGCGCCTGCAGCCCCGGCGCGTCGCCCGCCCGGCCGGGGTAGGCCGGGCCCAGCCCAGCCCCGGGACCGCCGCTGCCCGCGGGCGGGGCGCCCGGGCAGCCGGGGCGATGCGCGGGCCCCGGCCCCGGGAGGCGGCCGCCCTGGGGGTGAGTGTCGGGGCGAACGCGCGCCGCGGGGCTCCGGGGTGGGGGCGCGGGCGGGGGGGTGCCTGCCGCGGCTCGGCCTGCTGGGTCGGCCCGAGCTCCGCGGCTCCGAGCTGGGGCCCGAGGAAGCGCGGGACCCCCGCTTTGGGGAGGGGGGCGAGGCCATGCGCCCCACGGCCCGTGGGCTCGAGGGAACCCCCCCCCGAAATCACCAGTGCGCGGCAGAGGGAAGGCACGATTTAAAGGCCAGAAAATTCGGCTGGTTTCCCCGCCTCCCACCTCCCCCACCCCTTCCCTTCTGAGCCCGGGGAAAGGCGCAGAACCGAGTTATAAAAAGCCACGGTGGAGAGGAGCGAAGAGGAGGGAGAGGAGGAGGAGGGAGGGGAGGAGGGAGAGGAGGAGGAAGGAGGGAAGGAGGAAGAGGAGGTCGGAGGAGAGGAGGGGAGGAGGGAAAGGGGGAGGGAAGGAAGAGGAGGAGGGGACGGGAGGCTCGCACGGAGCCGGCAGGCGGGCCCCAGGCCTCGGTGGGGTGGGGGCGCAGGGGGCGGGCCCGGGGCGCAGCCGGTCCGTGCGTCCTCGGGGCTCGCCCTCCCCACCCCGGGAGGCGCTTCAGTGGTCTGGGGTCCCCGGGGCCGTGGTGACCTCTGACAGGTGGGCGTCTGGAAGCCCCCCACCCCACGATCGCCCCAGTCCTTAGGAGGCGCGAGCGCCCCCCGCCCCGCGGCCTGGCGGTCCGGAGCTGGGGTGGGAGGAGCGGGCTGTGACAAAGTTTTCCTGCCGCTCCCCGCGGCCCCCGAGGCGGGGCCCGGGCCCGGGCCGGGAGTTGTTTCAGCACTGGAGGCGCGGACAGCGGCCGGGTCGGGGTGGGGTTTCCCCGGGCTCCTGGGGCGCCCGGGAGGCGGGCGGCCCCTCCCCGCCGGGCCCCCGCGGCGGCCGGGTGGGGCGGACGGAGTTCAGCACCGGCGGGAGGGACAGCGAGCCCCGCGCGCGCCCGCTGAGCGGCTTAGGCGCGGGAAGGTCAGGGCCGGCGGGGCGGGGCGCGGGGCGGGGCGCGGGGCGGGGCGCGGGGGGGTGCGGAGGCCTCCCCGGGGGGCGCCGCGGCGGGGCGGGCGGGGAAGGCCGGGCGCAGCCCCGGCGGGGCGGCGCGCAGCGCGCTGACCGGGCGTCCGCTTTCGCTTTCTGCCCTGCAGCGGTCGGGATGGAGGTGAGACGGCGGCGGTGACGCCCGCGCCCCGCGCCCCGCAGCGCCTCCCCTCCCCGCCGCCGCCCGCCCGCCGCCGCCGCCGCCGCCGCCGCCGGAGGAGCCGTCGAGCCCCGGCGGCCTGAGGGGGGCCGGGGGGCGGGGCGGCCGGACCAGCGATGCCGGCGGGCATGACGAAGCACGGCTCGCGCTCCACCAGCTCGCTGCCGCCGCAGCCCGTGGAGATCGTGCGCAGCAAGGCCTGCTCGCGCCGCGTGCGCCTCAACGTCGGCGGCCTGGCGCACGAGGTGCTGTGGCGCACGCTCGACCGCCTGCCCCGCACGCGGCTCGGCCGGCTCCGCGACTGCAACACGCACGACTCGCTGCTCGAGGTGTGCGACGACTACAGCCTGGACGACAACGAGTACTTCTTCGACCGCCACCCCGGCGCCTTCACCTCCATCCTCAACTTCTACCGCACCGGGCGGCTGCACATGATGGAGGAGATGTGCGCGCTCAGCTTCAGCCAGGAGCTGGACTACTGGGGCATCGACGAGATCTACCTGGAGTCCTGCTGCCAGGCCCGCTACCACCAGAAGAAGGAGCAGATGAACGAGGAGCTGAAGCGCGAGGCCGAGACGCTGCGCGAGCGCGAGGGCGAGGAGTTCGACAACACCTGCTGCGCCGAGAAGCGCAAGAAGCTGTGGGACCTGCTGGAGAAGCCCAACTCCTCGGTGGCCGCCAAGGTGAGTGTGTGTGGGGGGCCGGGGTCCCGGGCCGGGCCGCCCCCCCCCCTTGGCTCCCAGGATCGGGGCTCTGATGGGGGCATCCCCAGAGAGAAGGCCCCCATCCCCCGTTGTGGGGTCTCCCCCCACCCCTCCGCCATTGGCTGTTCAATACCCTCCTTTTTGTCGGAGGCAAGATGTACACATAGGGCTGGGTGTAGAACGGACCCGAAGGGCCTGGAGATGGGAGCCAGGAGGAGGAGCAGCAGCAGCAGCGTTGGGCTGACACCGGGTGGAGAGGACTCTGGTTCCCTTGGAAGGTCCCCCTGGGCCTGGGCTCTGCCATGGGTGGGTGGCCCTGCGATCCTAACACCCACTGTCCACCAGGAAGGGAGAAATGCAGCCTGTGGCTGGCCTGGGCGCTGAGATACTGTCAGAGGCCCAGACCCATCCAAGTGAAGACAAATGGGGCCAGGGGAGCAGGGGCAGGGGATCAGGCAGGGGATCGGGCAAGGGAGAGGGCAGGGGAGAGGGCAGGGGAGAGGGCAGGGGAGACAGGCAGTTGGTTGTGGGCTGTAAGTCGCCCTTATCATTTATCTATATGGTGAGATATTTTTTTTCCCCCAAGAGCAGTTCGGGCGTTTGTAAAGCTGGGTTGCCACCGGGGAGGATGTGCTCATGGGAGAGGAAAACGGGGTGGTGTGCGGAGCTCAGAGGAGGCAGGAGCGAGCTTGCTCACACCGGAAAAGTGGGTGCCACCGGGACTGAGGGAGGCTTGGGGTGCAGGCCAGGAGCAGAGCGGGAGGGAGGCACGTCTCTGAGGCAGGCGGAGACTCGGGGCCTGCAAGGGGCCTGTCCTCACGTGGCTGGTGCCCGGGGCCTGTAGGACAGAGGCGCTGGCCCTTAACCGGCTTAGGATCAGCAGATTTACTTTGCTATTTCCAGGCCTGGCCCAGCATGCAGCTCACGGAGGCCCTGCCATCCCCTCCCGCCTTCCTGTCCCGTCCCAGGGATGTAAGAGACAGGAAATGGGGGGGGGGCGCTCCTCGAGAAGAAGCAGGGGTGGGCTGTGTTTGGGTTGGCACCTGGCAGAGGCACAGGCGCCCAGGCTTCCAGGAGGCACAGTTTGGGAATAAACAGCTCTCCTCTCCCTCGGGTTAATCCGATTGCCCAGATGAGCTTCATGACCTCGCGGTGATCCCAGGCGGAGCTGTCAGCTCACATTCCTGCAGATGGACCAGCCAGGGTTTTCTGTAGCCAGAGCCGGACAGGGAGGAGAAACTCTGACCACCATGGAGCAAATCCTTAGCAAAGGGGGGCTCAGAGCAGGAAGCCGCTTGCCTGAGGGCACAGAATAGACAAAGAGGAGTAGCCAGAAATTGAAAGCCTCGTGTGACTTTGAATACCCCGTTCCCTCTACACACCCTCCTCGTCTCTCTGTTCTCTCTTGCTGACCTCTGCCATTCTCTCTCTCTCTCTCTCTCTCTCTCTCTCTCTCTCTCTCTCTCTCACACACACACACACACACACACACAGAGCCAACCTGCACTTTTCAAAATGTTAATTGGATCACATTATTCATCTGTTTGAAATCCTCCTGAGGTTTCTCATCACACTTAGAATAAAACCTAGGCTCCATCATTCATGAGAGGCCTGGCCCTCAGAACTACTCTGGTACATCTCTTGCATTTTCCCCCCTAGTCCACTTGATTCTGTGGCCTCTTTGTTCCCAAATAGGTCAGGATTTATCCTACCTCAGGACCTTTGTACTTGCCATGCCTATTGCCTGCAATGTTTTTCCAGATTGTTACCTGGCTAGTCCCTTCTTCTCATTCCCTATTTGAACAGGCGCAGAAATGGCAAAGGTCTCCCTCTACCAGGAGACCTTTCTTGGCTCCTGCTGGAAAAAGTACACACACTCTCACCCTCTGTCACAGTGGGCAGTGTCTTCTCTGTGTAGGCCTTAAGTGCTGTTTGAAATCCTCTTCTCTTTTGTATGTAGCACACCTAAGAATGTGAGTCCCTTGAGTTGGACACTTGTTCCCAACGGGCATGGGGGTGCCTGGCCCCGGGGACCTCCCAGAAACCACACATGAAATGAATCGATGGGTGGATGGAAAAGCAAACGATCAATCACTGCTTCAGTGACTCCTCCTCACTGCCCACCTGTGACTCGGTTTCCCTGAGCCTCTGGCCTCCCTCGGTCTCCTGAACTAGGTCTGTGCTCCTAGCTGGGGCATCCTGAGTCCTGTAGAAATGTCTTTGAGGCCACAGACTGAGAAGACCAAATGAAGGGTCCTATCTGGGTGGCCACATCTAGCGAGAACAGCATTGTGTCATGTGCGCAGGAGCAAGAACAGCTCTGCCACTGCCATCCATGATCCCTGGTCTTAGGCCATTTTTTTCTTTACCTCTCCCAGGCCAGCTTGACACCTGTGAAAAAGAAAAAGAGATCAAGGCCATCACCCACAAAATAGCATCTGTGAAAACTTAGCTCAGGGCCCAGTACCTAACAGGTGGTGCTGCTGTTGTAAATAATAAGTAGCTGACTCCTGTTTCTGGGCTGAGTTCCTGCAAAATCTTTTCCTCATGATAGCAGTACCAGGGAGGCTGAGCTGAGGTCGTTAATAATTGATGGAATGTTCTGGAAACTCAGAGACAAACCCAAGCCCAGGCCCTAGACTCCTCCATCGAAACCCATTAAGCCAATGGCAGAGTGATTGATTGCTGTTTGGAAGCCAGGGTCAGTCCCACCGGGACTGGCGGGGAGGGAGGTGGTGCTGGGGCCACCACTGGGTTTTTTGTTTTTTTCAAGAACAGGACAGGCATTCCTCCGTGGGAGCGAGGCGGCCAGTCTGCCAGGCCTTGAGAGCCTGCTTTCCCCAGCATCTCAGGGCGAAAGGTCTCATTTCCAGAGCGGCTGTTCTTCAGTGTGTCGGGCGCTGCCCGCCGGGCCTTCCTATCTGCTTGTCTCATTGAGGTCCCTCCCACAGTCCGCCGGGGCTGCACACCTGCAAGGACTTCTCTGGGTATAAGTAATGGAACAGAGAACTCAGCACCTGCCCGGCTCACCTATCAGGACGATCCCAGGTAGTGGGGCATAGGAGGCCCTGGCTCAGTGAAGCGATGGCGTTCTAGGTGCTTTCTCCCTCTTCAGTCCCTGTGGGGGACCGGGACTCAAGCTTGAAGCCTCATACCGGAGTGGGCTGCCCAGTGACTGCTCTCCAATGTAGACACAGTGATGTCCAGCCACAGAGACAGGCACTACTTTTTTTTGAGAATTCCATTGGCCAGGACAGGTCACATGTTCTAACCCTTCTGCGAATCCTATTGGCCTTTTTTTTTAAGGGAATGTACCAATCCTGTGGTTTAATTGGAGATGAAAATCTCAGAGACTTTCCTGACCTGGCTGGCTTCAAACCACAATCCTCAGATCTCAGCCTCCTGAGCATTACAGGAGGTGTGCGCCGCCGATGCCCGGCATGAGCATGCTCTTTGGACATTCCCATTGGTCAAGATAGGTCATGTGTTCATGCTTTCACTGTTGGGGAATCTGCAAAAGCCAGTGTCTATCATTTCATTTCTTTAGAGTGAGGTTAAGAGCCTTTGACAGAAGAGGAAATGGAGGCTCCTGAAGGCCCAGGTCATCTTGTCTCAGCTCACACAGCTGAACAATCAGTATGTAGCATTTAGTGTGTGTGTGTGGGGGGGGTAGAGCCAAGGTTTGGACTCAGTTCATCTGGTCTTAGGCCGGCTTCTGAATCCTGGACTGCATTTCCGGAAGTTTGCCGTGACAGAGTGATACCAGGTGCTGCTCCTGGTTTGTCTGGGTGGTTCTGTGAGATTTCAGGCGTGAATATGGTTTGCAACTAGAATGTGTAAGTGTGAATTCTTATTATGATCGGAATATCCAGAAATGGGTGTGGTGTTTCGTTATTGACAAGGCCCCGGGCTCTGGCGTAGAGTAGATGTGTTGAGCTTCATTTTCCTACCTAGGAAACAGGGATTGGGTTGGAGGAGAGAGCCCACGAGCACCTAGCCCAGCACCTAGCACCCATAAGAAGGAGTTCCTCAGAACTCCTCCGAGTAGCTCTACCTCGCCTGCTGGGGTCACTTGTACCCTGCCCCCATCTTTTGGGCCACTGCGAGACAAGGCTTTATCTTCCTTGCAAGATCTGGGAGGACTGCGTATCATCCTCAAGAAAAATTGGGGAACTACTCAGAGTCCAGGGGTCCTCAGTTTTCCATAGACTGGGGCTGGCCCCAGCTCAGACATCTCAGATGACTGTTTTTATTGCTAGGGGCAGAAGCCAGCCCTTTCCTCCTGCCCTTGCTCTTCCCCGGACTGCACTGGCCCACAGATTGTGGAAGGATGAAAAGCATGGAAGCCGTGCCTGGAAAAACAGGGTCTCCCCTTGACCTGCGAAGCCCAGGGCCCAGGATGCCACCATAGGCTGCCACTCAGGGCCATCTGTAGGGCTCTGAGTCCCACCGCCACCCGTGAGGCTCTGGGATGTCCCCCTTCCCAACCTCCACTTGACTAGGGTCAGATATTGGCAGCTGGGTTCGGTGTTTAGAAAGTTCGATGGGCTGGAGAATGCAAAATCACTTAGGAAGGAGGAGTGCTAGCCAAGCGGGCAGTTTGGCCAACGCTTAATTAACTGGAAGAGAGCAAGCACGCATTAGGCACCAACTCCATACCCGGCACTTTGTGTACCTCTGTACTTCGTAGCTGCATGGATGGGAGCTGGATTTCAGAGCCGGATTGCCCAGGTCAGCTTGGCTGCCCTCCTCCCTGGCCACAAGGCTTAGAGCAAGCTCTTGCAGTGCTCTGTGCCCTGGCTCTCTACCAGCCACGGTAGGGGAACATAGTAGGGAGCAGTAGGGGAGCGTAGTAGGGGGCAGCATGGCCTGTGTACCCCATGCAAAGCCCTTAGAACTGGGCCTGGTGTATAGAAAGCCCTCTTGATTTTATTTATTTATTTGGTGCTGGCCCTGGGGCTTGAACTCAGGGCCTGGGT